CTATATGGGTACATGGAGCCTTAGAGTATTGAGGCCCCTACATAAGTCTCTCGAGCCAGGCCCTCCGAGTCCTCGGCAGAGGAGGGCCAGCTCATCGTCCGTGGCCCTAGCGACAAGGTGTCTTTGGCATGTAAACAAAACCCCAACCTTTCTAGGGCCTATACTATATATATATATATATATGACCCTACCATGAATTATGAGGTAAATTTAGCAACTGCCCGGATGGTTTCGGATTCCTAGCATCCTGCAAGAGGAATACACACGAATTCCCACGCACGGCAAACAATCCACACGATAACAAGCATGGCAAGGGTGTTTATACGCTTGTAGGTTGAGGGTTTCGGGTTAGGGCTTCGATGAGCGAGGGGCATCTTGAACAAGGCCTGAGATGCTGTTGAGAGACGTGCTGCCGTCTGCTATGAAGGCTTCTTTCGGTACGACATGATTTAGTTCTTGGTTCCTTGGTGTCGGGGGAGATGAGAGCGCGGCTACTGCAGCAAAACCGAAGGCAGTCATGGTTCCTTCCACATGGAAGCCAAGGAAAGAGCAAGAATAGTAGCATCCACCCCGTTACCGGAGGTGGATGTTGTGAACATGCGTCGAGCGCTGTCGAGCTTCAGCATCTTGGGCATCAGAAATTGATCATAGGTAATGGACCAGTTCCGAGCGTCGACGTGCACACCGGGCAGTATTCGGTATTCGGGCATGTCCCATGTTTCTGAGCAGCAATTTGGGAAGACTGCATTTCGGCTTCATAAAGCTGCAGCTTACTATTGCAGTCGACTGCCTGCATCAATTCGAGTCAACTCCTGCGCATGCTCTGCTTAGCACGGAGAGGCTAGCACATCGATAGAGCCATACAGCCTAAGGTCTCCTCATCTTTGAGTTTGCGTGGGAGCTTCAGCAAAAAAAGCCGGCCAAAAGTGCTCCAGTAGCAGGATAATGAAGTAGGACCCAGGAGATAAGTGCCTTCCGTGGTATCTCTAGTTTTCGTGAGCCTCCTGGATTTGTTTGAAGTAGGCCGAGTGCTTTTCCGTCCGGACCCTGAGGCGAGAGTGAGTGGCTCGAGAGAGCCTTCAAGAAACACCGCTGCTTGACTCAGAATCTTTTGGAGGCCGAGAAAAAAGTAACACAATTATTAATTACAGTACTACATCTGCAAGATTGTATTAGACAGTATCATGTAGTATTACATAGTATTACATTATCATATATTCTAGTATATGTCAGAATACCTCATACGGTATACCTGGTTGATGGCTGACAGTTGTCAGTAACAAATAAGAAAACAAATGAATGGCCCAAGCCCTTCGATATAGGAACAGCTGAAGACAGGTTCGTGTCGACCACCGAACCTAGCATCCCAAACACTAATATCCCCAATGCTTCAGAGGCTACCGAAGCGAGAGCTTGCAGCTCTTGCCAGCAATTGAGATGTTGGCATCACTGTCAACAAGCCTTTTCCCGCTGGCGCAGCGAGCTCTTTACATGCTGCAGTCTCAGAGGGAGAGGAAGAGAAATTGCGTGTGCATCGATAGCGCTTGAACCTGAGTTTTGGACAATTTCTGCACCTGACCTCCGATAAACAAGGACCAGGAAAGTCTCTCACAGTTCTAAGCCCTAAACGCCTTAACACCTCCCAAAATCCTAAAGCCCCGCGAGGTCCGTCGGCACTGTGAAACACAGTGGTAGCGAGTTTGCGGCTGCTGCCCGCTGTGCACGAGACCTGCAGTGCACCGGGCTTGGATGAGGGAGAAGGTACATCCTGAGAGTCGGAGAGTCCGGTTTAGGGTTTAGGGTTTACCTTAACCCAAAGCCCACTTTCTGTAGGTTCTTATTATAAACCCTAATATGGGATTTATAGGGACCCTACAAAAAAGTAGGTTTAGGGTTTAGGGTTTAGGGGCGGAGAGTATCTTCAGGCCTTGGCCCTACGTATTGTCCGACAAGGGTTAGATTTATTGGGGCTTCAGTGGTGGAGGCAAGCATGCCCAAGCCAGGATAGGATCCACTGAGAGATAGGGAGAAGCCGTCCCATGCGGATGTTTTCAAGCTGGATGCCAAGAGTGTCCAAGCAAAAGAGGCCTTTTAGCTGCAACTTGGCTTCCTTGTTGCGTCAACGTCCGAAGTGCATGAGGCCCCATTATCCTCGGCGATGTGGAGAATGAGGCCACGAGAAGATTTTGCGGCTTGCACCGTGGAAGTTTCAAACCTGCTCTCCGGTCCATGAACTTTAAGAGCAGGTGTAGGGGCTTTTCGAGAAAGCTCCCATGAGCAAGCACCTCACTTACATAGATCAAGGCCGAACTTGTCAGGGAGCCGATACTTGAGCTTTGATGCATGTGGGAGTTTCCGAACATGAGGGTACCTTATTTTGGGGTCCTTATAATGGGGATCCTACTATTTAGGGTGCTATATTAGGGTCCCCTATTTTCGGAAACCCCCATGTGATGCAGGTCCCCATCGATGCTCTTCTTCCTTGCAAGCCCCTTTTAGCAGCGAGCCTTCGTTGTTCCTCTTGGATGGAGTTGGAGGTTCGGCTGGATTCATGGACAGGTGCACCCAGGATCCGAACCCTTGGCCCCTTGGGCCCTTCGCAGCCATAAGCCCGAAAGAACCTTAGCAAAAACCCAGCAACTCTGAAGCCCTAAGCCCAGAGACTTTACAAGCCCAGAACCCGAAACCCCTACAGCCTAAAAACCCCAGAAGGCCCAGAAGCCCTAAACCCTCAAAACCTAAAGCCCTATAAGAGCCCTAAAGCCCTAAACCCTAAACTCCTACACCCTAACCTTATGATAACCCTAAAGCCCTGAAGCCCTACTCCACCTACGGAAGCCTTGCAGAGGATCTCTTTGACCCGGTGGGAGCTCTCGAGGTGACCCGTGGCCAACCGGTGTGGCTTGGCTTTGTGAGAGAAGACCGTCTGTTTTGGAGTCTTAGGGTTTAGGGTTTAGGGGGATTGGAGGCTTGTGTTTAAAATAGGGATTTGTGCGTTTTGCGTGCTTTTCGAGAGCTGCGTTTGGGTTTAATATGATACTGCCGAAGTTCCGGGTACAAGGGCGCCCCCAAGGCTCCAACCACAACTGCTTCAGCCCCCTTGGTGTGGCGTGGACCCTTAACCGTGGCGTCCCTTCGGTTATATAGCCACTCTGCAAGTGCAATTGCATGAAACATCGCCGCCATGGCCGCATGCCATCAAGCCCCGCTTCATGGCCGTAGAGGTGGATGCGACTGGCTGGGCCCTTCGTTCCTCCACCTGAGGGTGGCATCAACTTGCCCAAGGACTGGCGGGCTGATGAAAGCTTGAAGCTGTCTAGCGGTCTGGGGTTTTGGGCCACTACAGGACTTTGGGGGCAAGCTTCTCAGTTGCCGGGAATATGGGACTGGTTCAGGATCGAGGACATCGAGCTTGGGTCGGGTTGACTCGTTGTTTGCCCTGAGCTGGGTTCGAAGGTTAAGGCTACCCGAAGCCTAAGGGTTGGTGGTCGGCGGCAGGTGAAGCCCTGGCACCTGTAGTTCTGATAAGTCTTGAGACTAAGGCATTAGAACCCATGCCAGTTGCTTTTTGGTGGACACACACACACACACATCAGACATATAAAGGAGGCATCATCGGAAGTCTTCAGTTACTTTGGCATAAGATGAGTTTAGGCTTGAACGCTCGAAGGAGTAAGTTTGAGTGGTGAGGCCACGGCACCCCCGAGTCGCTTCGTTTTCAACAAGTGAAGGGTAGACATGTCAGATCTGCTGTGGGGTTTCGGGAGTTTAGGGTTTGGTTTAAGGACGTGGTCGCTCGCTGTATGGAACTCCGAGAGTTGCTCACACTAGTGGAGATACAAAAAAGTCTAGGTGCATCTATACGAGTTTGTGGGCGTGTTGGAAGTTTTCTCCAAGGTTCAGGCAGTGGTTGGGAAGCTCGCGATATACGGTGCTGCCCTGAAATGTTTCGGAGATGTTTTCAAATTTTACGAGGTCTTTATTACATCTTACGGAGGGTCAGAAAACAACAACAACAACAACAACAACAACAACAACAGCAGCAACAACAACAGCAACAACAGCAACAACAGCAACAACAACCACAACAACGACAGCAACAACAACAACAACAACAACAACAACAGCAACACGATAGATCCTTGGAATGCCAACCTGTAGGGCAAAAGGCACAACTCCAACACAAGGCTCCAGCAAGGACGCAAATAGTATGTATTCTGTAGTATGTGTTTGTCTCGCCTCTCACACACCCTCATCTGTGCAGGCCCTGAAGCATGTGTTCGCTGGAACCACGAAGAAGGGTGTTGGCACCCAGCTCCTGGCGGCAAACGTGGTTCTCACCGCCTCTTGGCTGGCCTTTAGATATCACTTGTCGCCATGTCTGCGGCCACCGTCATCAACACCACGATCACAGGCAGCAACAGCAACATCGCCAGCATTCCCGCCGTCGACATAATCATGTTCAGCATCCATGCTGTAACAATCGACATGTTACATTGGCTGCTTGCGGATGCAGCTGTTGAGAAATACAGCAAGATGGTGATGAAGTTGACGTTGATTGTTGCGACAATGTTTCGCAGAGTTCGGACCATGCACATAATGTAGTAGTAGTAGCAGTAGCAGTAGTAGTAGTAGTAGTAGTAGTAGTAGCAGCAGCAGCAGCAGGAGGAGGAGTAGTAGTAGTAGTAGTGGTCGTACTGGTAGTAGTAGTAGAGTAGTAGTAGTAGCAGTAGTAGTAGTAGTAGTAGTAGTAGTAGTAGTCCTAGCAGTGTTGTTATTGTCGGCGTCCCCGTCCGTCGGCAGCGTCGTCGTCTGAGCTGCAGTTGATGATGATGCCGTTGATGCTAGTATGGGTTGTACTGACGTTGCGGCGCTGCTATCAGTATCACTTTGACTTTCATTGTCAGTCGCACTTGGTTTGCCACGGTACATATTCGAACAGGTCGTTTGACAATCTCAGGGGACAAGTGTCAGAGTTTACGTGGTTCTGGGTCCGGCTATGTACGTTGGATGGCCTCCGATTTTCCTGCGTGCGGGGCGCGAGGGTTAAGCAGCTGCTTGCATGGAAGCCGCAGTTTAGCGAAGCAAGAGAGGTCCGTGCATCTCGCGTCCAGGTGTATGCGTTGGCGAAGGACGGCCTGATCGACCCCTCTGCTTGGCAAGCTGGCTGTGGACAAAGTTGGCACTAGTATTGGCTAGTAGGTTGTCGTGGTTGAATTCTGGCCGGATTTACAATTTACTGCGAACAACTCGGTCGCACCTCGCAAGCCTGTTAATACCCCGCAGGAAAGTATGGTGGCACAGCATGCGTTCAGCTGACCGTATCACACTCGAGTCGATTCCCCGTCATGGCACGGTGACTGAGCGTTGAGTGATCACTTGACTGTGATGGTCAACAGCAATCGATAAACGCGTTGACCGGCGTTGTTGTAGAACCGAGCAAAGATGGAAATGGAAACCGGCTTCAGGTCTTGAAGTCAATCTTCGCAGCACTGATCGCTTCTGGGTGATCTCCTGTAGCTACAGTAGGAGTAGTAGTAG